ACGCGACGATGTCAATCCCGATCAGGTTCGCGCCTTTTTTTTAATATATTAAGTTGTAGGAATCTCGTTGATGTTCTTTTTAGGATCTTGTCTTGAGATTGATCTGTGAAAATCTGTGGTAGATTTGTATTTAGGTGGAGGAGGGTACGAGGATCTTGAAGGAGAAGACGATTTGAAGGCAGAGTTTATCTGTCCGTTTTGTGCAGAAGATTTTGACATTGTTGGGCTTTGTTGTCACATGGATGAAGAACATCCTGTCGAAGCCAAGAATGGGGTAATTAAACGATCATCAACAAATCTTCTTTTAGCTTTTTTAGAATGATTTGTCCGATTCTTAGGTTGATCAGGTCTAAGCTTTTAGCTTTGTCTAGAAGAATTTGGTTTCCTTTTTTCGAAAAATCGAAGCTTTGGTTGAAATTGAGAATCTTGGTTTTATGTCCGTGTGATGATGAAATGTTCTTGTGCCTATCCTGTTGTTTCTTCTTATCAGATGAGGCACTGTAATCCCATTTACCAGCCTTTTGAATCCAATCTTGGAACATTTCCTTAGATTCAGTATTCGTCATTAGTCGGTAATCAGTAAATTAGTGATCTTTCATGATCCAGATTGCTACTTTTTTTTAGCTATCTTTATCTGTTTGCTCTTCAACATGGAGTTGAGAAAAAAATGTGAATCTTTGTTTTTTTCCCAGATCTGTCCTGTATGCACAAAGAGGGTGGGATTGGATATCGTTGGCCACATTACCACGCAACATGCGAATTTTTTTAAGATATCCTTTTTCAACTTTTGTTCTTTTTCCAGTTTATGATGCTTGATCTGTGTATAGCTTGTTGGTTCTATAGAGCATAATCATTTGGTAGAAGTTAAGAGTGAATTTGTTTATTTCCTTGATGAGAGGTTTTACGTGCAGCGAAGGAGAAGGTTGAGAAGAGGTGGATATAGCTCTGCTTATCTCACTTTGAAGAAGGAACTCCGGGAAGCAAACTTACAGTCTCTTCTTGGTGGATCTTCAAGTTTCACTTCTTCAACCAACATAGATTCTGATCCGTTACTGTCGTCCTTTATGTTTAATTCTCCTTTAGCTAAGGAGTCTGCAAACAAACCTGCTACTCCTGTTACCGAAGGAACCTCGGCTACAAAAGTCTCGTATAAGGAATCTCTCAGAAGGTATATAGACAACTACTGACCCTATGGTCTTGAGAAAGCTAACATAGGGCTTCATTCTCACTTGGTCTCTGGCTTTCATTTGTGCAGAGACATTCGAGAAGCTCCACTTTCTCGCGAAGATCAAGAGAAGGCGAAAAAGAGCGAGTTTGTGAGAGGTGTGTTGTTCTCAACCATGCTTGGAGAAGATTTCTAATTTCCTTCGTCGCCTTTGTTGTGGTTGATGCATGAGAAGTAAGGAATATGAGGTTGAAAATTGTAAGAGTGGTCTGAGTGTATGATGCAAACCTTGTAAGTTAAGGGGATGCAGAGTTAAAATCCATAATATTGTTATTGTACCTTGGAACCTTTGTGTGCATAAACGGAAACCAACTACTTTTTCCTTACATTTAGATTTTCATAGGTTCATTTGGGATTGGCCTCTAAATAAAAGTTGGATCATTTTTATTATGTTCTGACCTTAGCATAGTTTGATAAGTGACCAGGTGATTCCATGAAAGCTTCGGAAGTTGACAAGAGAATAATCATATACAAGTTTCTGAGAAAATGAAAGATCTCTCATATTTATTAAGTAGTGCATCTGAAAAACTGCTCAACAAAATTTCTTTGATTTCACGTGAATGAAGTGGTGAAACTGTACAGAGAATATCTCACAACAACTCCAAAAATAAAAACCCGAATAACCAAAAGGACCATCAACCATGTATGATCTAAACAATGTGGTTTATTAAGGGAAAGAATCTGACCTTTTTCTAACTTCACAAATATGAATTTGATTGATGAATCCTAGAAAGAATCTCAAGAGAAGTTCTTGTTTTTTTTCTTGTGCGGAGTTTCGGTTTCTTTAGACTGCAGCTCTACCGTAAGCATTATCATCTCTGTTCAGCTCGGGACACGGTTCAGGACTCACGGAAACTGAAGAGCCGTAGACATAGGAGCATTGCCAAGTAACATTAGAACCCGAGTTCATCGACAAAGAAACATTGGATAAAGCCAGTGAGCTAAAAGGAGACTCTTTGATCCCAAACAATTTCCCCGCAACACCGATGTGTACTCCAGAAATGTTGTTTAATCTGATGTGACTAACAAGTGGGAGAGCATTTTCGTCGTATTTATCATCCGGGTGAGTTCCAAAGCTACCATTCGCCACAATAGCAGTACCAATTCTCGACATATAGATATTTGAAATATTGATCTCTTTGATGTAACCACCTCTTCCTCTTGTGGTTCTAAAGGCAATGCCGGTTAATGAGTTGCGTATAACGGCATTGTCGACCACGACATCTGATATTCCACCGGACATTTCACTACCAAATGATATAGACGAACCAGAAGCTGATTGAAGGTAAATATTTCTTATATGAACATTTGCAGTGGCACGCGCATAAGCAATTCCATATTCATCCCAACCGCTTTTGAGGGATATCGCGTCATACCCCGTATTAATGGTAGAGTTTTGGATGCAAACATTATCAGAAGAATCTGAGAAACATAACAAAACAAAACACATTTCATTTTCTATTCTTATACTGTTATACATAACAAAAAAGAGTTTTAATCGAAAAGAAGCAGAGACAAGACAACTAACCTGGGACAATACCGATTGTATACGGAGATTCAGGAGTAGAATGAGCTAATATCTTCGAAATATACACATGGCTGCGTAGGAAGAGATTAGGGTCAAGAGTTATACCATTTTTAGAACTCGGAAAATGCAATACTTAAAGGCCTAAATGGTGTTGAACTATCTCTTACCTAGAGTAGATTGAATGGATTGTATAAGCAGGAGCATTCAAGAACGTAAGATTCGAGACGGCTACATTTTCGGATGAAATAAACTCGATAAGGTTAGGACGGCTATACTTCAAGGAATGTGAAGTAAACCGATCCCACCAAACCAAGCCTTGACCATCTATAGTACCATTATCACCTAAAAAAGCAGAGTAACCATAAAGTCTTAAAAGCAGAATATAACAAGTGAATCAAAGTACATATCAAGAAGCATTGTTAATTTGTTACCTGTTACAACAACATCATGTAGCTTATAACCGTTTATCAAACTCATGTATCGCTTCCCGGGCAAATCGATTCCTCGTCCATACGAAGGTAACGGATCAACAATTTCCCAATGCGACGGATCCTTTTGGAGTAACAATAAACAAAATTTCACAAATTTGGGTTTCTTGGACACAATTACTAAGTTTGGGGTAAATGTGAAAGCATTATAAAAAATACCTGAGAGGCAACTATAACGGCGCCGTTTTCGAGAAAGAGGGTGAGGTGGCTGGTGAGGCTGAAACTTCCGGTGAGCCATTTTCCCGGCGGGACATAGAGCTGCGCCCCACCTTTGTCGGCGAATGACATTAGATAGAAAACGGCGTTTTGAAACGCGAGAGTGTTGAGCGTTTTGCCATCTCCAACAGCTCCAAACTCTGAGATTGACACACTGTGTGGTCTTGAACTCCATGATCTCCGGCCAAGTTCGTCGCATATTTTGCCGGCGTCGTGAATGTCGGCGTAAATCGGAATCAGACTGGTTAATACCACCACCAAGATTATTGCAACCTGCGACAAGGAAAAAAATAACTCTTTTCTGAATTGGATCTACCGAAATAAACAGAGGAAAACTCGATGAATCAACAATGGAGGAGCTTCGAGTTTTATTGAAATGGCTATAAACACAGAAAGGGACAACAAAAGAAGGACATATATAATTAAAGAGAGAAACCAAAAAGTGAGAACGCACTTACTGACATCTTTTATCTGTAACGAAGTTGTCGGAGAGAATGTAAGAGAAAAAAAACCTATAAAGGGAAGAACTTTTCGCGCCAAATGTAACCAGACAACTGAGAAAA